GTTTATTTCAAAGAATCTTCAACATTACTTAGTTTTTTATGTTGAAATTCAAGTAAATAAAAACGCTGAGAGTTAATAAATGTAAAATTCATTGATTTTCTGTTTTTTTTAAAGGAAAATTTCCTGATAAAAAAGTAAATGTGAATAAATTTTAGTTTGTTTTTTTTTGAATCGAAAGCAAAGAATTACATAATAATTAGCATAATCTTAAATGCTTTGCGTAAAAAAAACTTGCGCATCAATTCCTTGATTGGCTTGTTGCGCAACGAAAGATAAAAACGAAATTCTTTACAGTTTTTTTATATATTACTTTCAAGCATCATGTCAATCTTTAAATTTAAAATTTAAATTTATTTTCTTTTTGTTTATCATCATCATCATAAATTTCAGCAAAAAAAAAAACACAAATGGGTTATATGTGCATACACACACACACACACGCAAATTGACATCAAAAAAGTATAGAATTCTAGTCGAATCGAAATATTGGGGGGGGGAAATGAAAATGTGATCATACACAAGCATGTGATATATGTATCAAATTACAATCTAGTGAATTTTTAAAGCCGAAAATTTTTCTAGAAAATCTTTTACTGTTTGGGAAATGTTTACGGAAATTTTCTAATAATTTCAAGCGAAATTCCAAAAAAAATCCATGATGTAAGACAGTCGATTAATGATCATTCGATTTAAGTCAGTCAATCATTCATTCAATCAATAACGATTAAATTGAGACAGAATTTCAAGAGGAGCATTCAAAATTTTCATGGTCATTTTTTTTTGTTGGTTACCTGTTGAAACTAAACCACCATCATTATCATTACCACCAACATCATCATGATCATTATTATATATTCACAAAGATTGAAATCTTTCAAAGAAAGAAAAAAAATTAATGCAAAATTTGATTGTCGCCATTTTTATAATATTGATAATGATGATTACCTGGCTTTTAGCACTTGAAACAAACAGAAATAAAAATTTAAAAATTGTGAAATTTTTTTAATAAAAAAAAAGATTAAAATCAAACACATTTAGTGAGAAAATGAGATTATGATTTGAAATTCCATGGAAAAATTAAAAAAAAATTATCCATCGATCATCATCAACCTGCATAGCACAAATACACTTAACAAACAACTCAATCCAGACACAATACATTTCGGTACGACCAAGAAGAAGAAGAAGAAAAAAATGTCATAATTTCATTAGAAAAAATCCCCAAAAAAATAATGCTATCTTTTTCTGTTACTTTTGGATATTGATTGATTTCAAACCTTTTGCACGTTGCAGCCAAGAAAGAAAGAAAAAAAAGATCATTTTGATCATTTTTGATAAAATAACGTGTTTACGTAGTTGCAATTTCCACGCAATTTTTTTTTCTACTTTCAATCACCCCACTCAACCATTTTGAATAATAATTTTTTTTTTAAACTAAGAAACTCTTGTTTGTTATATTAATATCATATTGATAACAATTACGTTTTTTTTTCTTTTCTGGAATTTTTAATCGATTTTTTTTCAATCTTAATAATAATAATGATTTTTAATTTCAATTTCAAAAAAAAAAAATCATGAGTTAATCAGGAATTATTCAATTTTTCTTTTGAATTGAATTGAAAATTTATTGCTTTTCAAACATTTGTATCACATTAGAGAGAGAACACGTGTTCATTGTGATTCAATTGATTTTTTTTGGAAAGGAAAAAAAACAAGAATTCCTTTTCCATTTTTTTCTTCTTTTTTGAATTTAAATTTTCAACAAACGAAAAATTCTTTCGGATTAAATTGAAAAACTTGTTTAAATAAAACGAAAATCATTCAATTAATAATCATGATCGGTCAATGTGAAGGACAAAGGTCAAAGTTGAGCAAAGAAAAAAAATTCAAACTAGTTAAACATGAAAATTTTTTCAAATTAACAAATGGAAAATTGAAGAAAAAAAATTCAAATCAACTAACCAACCAACCAACCATACAGCATTAAACCATGCAAACCAGATATATAAAAAAAATTTCACATAACAAAAATTATGCTGGCTGGGTTATGTAATTTCTTTTTTCTTTCTTTTTTTTTCATTATTTGATATAGAGGTCAATAGAGTCAAACGAATGAAATGAATAAATTTATTGAGCGAAAAAAAAAGCCGGCCGGCTAACAAATAAACATGCTGTCCATCAATAACATAGGAAAAAAAAGAATTTTACATCACAAAACCATAATGGTGATGATGATGGTAATGAATAAATGCGAAGAGCAAAAGAAAAAAACTCGAATGACTAGCTTCTTCACTTTTTTTTACAATTCTCATTCAATTTGTTTTTCAAAAAAATTATTCAAGTGTCTTTCAAATTTCATTGGATAATATGGCGACCAGATCAGATCAGATCATACAGATCTATTGAATGTTGTAACCGGTATTTTACCATCATTTCTTCCCACTTTTTCACAGAAAAAAAAGCTTAAAAAAATGATGATGATGACCATCATCATCATCAGTTCACATCAATTCAATGGCTAAAAATCAAATTACTTTCACTGTTTCTTATTTTTCTAAAAAAAAGTGACCAGACATATACTTTTTTTTCCTTTTTTAAAAGTAGAAAAAAAATCGTGAATTTTATTTCACCTTGTTTAAACATTGTTTCAACAAAAAAAAATGGCTTTTTCCATCTTGTTTATTCACCATTCAGAATAAAAAGAAAAGATTACATTGTAATCAAATTCAAATTAGGATGTGTAAATAAATTTTAAAAAAAGGTGAAAGAATTGCACTTGAACAAAAGGCTTTATAATAAAAAAAACCATTCTAGGTAATTTCATTCTATAAATCAATCAGTCAATCAATCAATCAATCGATCGATCGGTTGATGGACATATTTTTTTACAAAAAAAAACTTGTTGAACTCATTTTTTTTGATCGCAAAAAAAGATTTTTGCTTAAAAATTTGTGAAAATAGTAACAATGTTTTTCTGTTCAAAAGAATTCAATTGATATTTTATCAATTCCGATTCGATTGGATTGATTGATTATTGATCAATCAATGATAAATGATGATGATGAGGCAAACAAACAAACAAGCAAATAAAATGTGTCATAGTTTTGGCTGTTGATTCAACAAACAAACTATTTTATCAATCCAATTTAATCGATCAAATTTATTTGCAACAATTTGGCTCAATGCTCACAACAAACATACACACAATATCTTGATTCAGATATCTAGACTAATTTCTGATCCAATTTGAAGTGTTTTATATTTGGTGTTTTATGTGGATTAAAGAAAATGCCAATTTCTGGCTATATCTTATTTCTGGTTTTTCATTCTTTTTTTTCTCACTCACTCATTCATTCCATAATGACCAAATTTTTTTTCTGGTTATTGTCTTGACTCTTTTATTTTTCTTTCTCTTTCCACATTTTTTTGGATGTAATGGGTTTTTCCCCTTGTCTGTTAAAACAATATGTGTGTGAGAGAGAATTGGATAAAAATTGCTTAACAAACACAGACAATATTCATTTATTGATGATAAGATGTTTGTTTTTCTTTGTTTTGTTTTTTCTGGAAAGCTCATCATACTAACTAAAGAAAAACACTAAAGACATCACTCGAGAAGATGAGAAAAAAAAATGAAAAAGTGGACAGAAATTTTTTGTTTTAATTGAAAAAAAAAGAATTTGCAAAACGAGCAAAATACAATAAGACTTATGTACTCAAAAGAAAATTTTCGAGAAACTTTTTTTTTTGGAAAAAACAACAAATGAAATGTAACTAAAGGAAATGGTCAAGGTGAAAAAGGAATTTTCAAAACAAAACAAAACAGAAAAATTCTTTCCCTGAAACTATTTTTATTCTAATTATAATATTCTGATGAATAGATAGATGAAAACTTTTAAATATCAAAAAATATATTCAAGTTTTTTTCGTTTCACTTTCACTTCTCTACAAGAGTTAGTTACTGGGTAAATTTCTTTTTTTTCTGTAAAGTATTCTTTACAAAGAAAGTAAGATACTAAAAAAAAAGTAATTATAAAAATAAGTTTGTTCCTATGAAACAAAAAAAAAAAGTCTCAAGTGATTTTCAATATTGAAACACAAGGAAAATGTCGATGAACAAGATTGAAAAATCAAAATCAGAAAAAAAACCTTAAAATATGAATTATGATGATGATTTTAAGATATGAAAAAAAAAAATAATCGAAAGAAAAGTTTCATCATTTCAAATACTTTGTATATTCATTCAATGGAAAAAAGTTTTCCGCTGAAAACAAGTAACTAATTACTAATTGGAATAAATTCTACATTTGAATTTTTGTTTGAAAAAAAATGTCAAACATGACATGTTTTTTTTGCAAAAAAAACTCATCACATTGTAAAAATTAATCAATCAATCAATAAAATGGAATGATAAAGAGAGATTTATTGAAAAATAAAAACTGAAAATTATTTAATCAAATCAATGGTTAAACACCATGTTAATTAGTTATAACATTCAAATAACATTTATATATTTAATCAAATCAAATCGTGATGATATTTCACTTGTTTTTTGAATGAATAAATGAATGAATGAATGAATGAAGAAAAGCAATTGAAATATAGCCAAACAAACTATTGAAATATCAAATAATCATTATCAATAAAAAAAACGTGCTTGATGAATTGATTGAAAAATTTTTTATGGTTCAATTTCCATTTTTTTTAATATTTTCATATTGATGTTATTTTCATCTGATTAATGATGATCAAGTTAAAGAGTTTTTGAGAAAGATTATCAGGAAAAAAAACATTGAAAAAATTAGTGATAAATTTTTCCCCCGAAAAAAATGATGAATTTTCAAAAAAAAAATAATGAATGAATCTAGGCACGAACATAGATTTAATTTGAAATTGGATATACTTTTTTGTTTTTTGATCATCAATTTTCAATATCAAAAAAAAAAGAAAAAGAAAAATTTCCGAAAAGTTTCTCATATACATGGAAAATTCAAACTTACCTGGAACCAATGTATCGAAAATCATATCATCATCATCATCATCATCAACATTATCGTTTATTTTATTTGCCGTACTTGTTGTTTGACCATTATCATTATCATTATTATGATCAATATTTGATTCATTATTCATCGAACAATTTGTTCCAATAATCGTTTCAATTGTCGATGTTGATGATGATGATGATGTTGTGGATAAAACAGGCGGATTTCCGCTCAATAATTCTTCAATACAACGTTTTTCTTCATTATATGCACGTTTAAGTGTATCAATACATTTATAAGTAATATTTGTTTGTGTTTTTTTTGTTGCATTTTTCATTGTCATTTTTGTTGTTGTCGGTATTGTTGTTGCTTTTGTTCCAGAAGTTATTGGCACTGAGCATTGTTGTTGTTGCTGCCGTTGTAATATTGTTGAATGATGATGATGATGATGATGATGACATTTTTCATTGACAATTTTATCATCTTTATTATCATTGCCATTATCATTATCATTATCATCACCTTTATGGTCATCATCCGGATTTGATGGTTTCAATAATGAATCAACATTTTCAATCATTTTTACTAATTCATTGTCAATTGTTTCATCATTATTATTATCATTATTATTATTTTCATTATTATTATTACCATTAAGTAATTCTTCAATTGAACATTCAATATCGATATTATTATTATTATGATTATTATTACTAATATTATTACAACAAATATTTTTATTTATTAAAAATGAATCATTATTACAATCACCACTATCATTACTAATATTATCATCATCATTGATTTGAATATTGTTGTTGTTATTGTTTACAACAAATGGATTTTGATCTGGAAAATTATTACAAAAAAAAGAAGTAAATTTTTAATTTATAAATGAATGAAAAAAATTAAAATCAAAAATCAAAATAATTAATTTACCATGATGATGATCATTTGTATTGATAATATAATTTAAACGATCCCAAATTTCAATAACAGAACCATTTGAATCATCAATTAATATCGATGTTGCAGCCATTTTTTTTGTTGTTATAATTATAATTTTCTATATATTCTTTCTATTTAATGATGACCACAATTATGATGATGACAATAAAGAAACTGTTGATGATAATGATGATAATAATAATTTTGTTGTAATATTTTTTTTATTTGCAATAATTTTCCTGTGTTGCTGATAATGATAATTCAGTTTTGACAATATTGGGTTCAAATTTCCGAGAAAAAAAAATCAAATTTTTTTTTGGAAAAAATAAAAAATGTCAAATGTCATATGGAATGTGGAATGGAAGATGCAAATTTCCAACAAACAACAAACAAAAATCATAGGTCACACACACACACATAAACATCATTCAAATAGGAACAAAAAAACGAATGTTACCATAGTACAAAAAAAAAGATAATTGGATTTTTTCTTCGAACATTTCAAAAATTAGTGTTTTTTGTTTTTTCAATCTGGTTACCAAAAAATAATAATAAAAACTACCAAGACGACAATAGTTGAAAATTTTTTGTTAATGATAATGATATAACGTCCTGGATTCCCAATCCAACCAAACAACAACAACAACAACAACAAATAAAACAAAAATTTTTTCAATTTAACAAAATTTCGGTTTTGTTAGATATTTCAAAGAAAAACAAACAAAACAAAACAAAACAAATGAAACAAAAAAAATAATAATGTTCCGGTCATTGATCGATTCACATTGATGTGAAAGTGAATGAAAAATCTGTTCAATTTTATCCGGATGATTTATTGTTGTTGTTGTTGTTGTCGTCGTTATTGATATTTTCATTCATTCGTTTATTCATTTAGTTTGTTAATTCATTTGAATATTTTATGTTTCAATTTGTTCGTTTAACATTATTTTTTCATCGTAAATAAAATGTTGATGATGATAATTATGATGAAATTAATGTTTTAGGTTTGGGCTGTCAATCTACGGTTGACACCAAAATACCACAAATGTCAACACACATAGCACCCAAGAAAAAAAATCAATAAACAAGATTTTTTCATCAAACAAAAAAACTTAATCCAAATTCGTTTTTTACACAATTTCGAATGATGAGGAAATTGAAAATTTTTTCAAATGTCAATTTTGAAAACATCACTACAAAACACACACACACACACACATTTAACATGATGATGATCACATAGGGACAAATGTAATTTTTTTCTGGAAAAAAAAACAAAACACCGAAAATTCTACCGCCAAATATTTTTTCAAAAAAAAAAAAAAAATTAAACCAAGAAAAAAAACAAGAATCAAAAATATAAATGTTTTTGGTTACATTCTCAATGTATATGGCTTATATCCTAACTAACTCTAACTCTAAACTAAAAGCTAAAAACACTGAATGATTGAATCATCCATCTACAAAAATGAATGAATGAATGACTGGTTTTGCTTCTTGTCGGTGTGTGTGTGTTGCGTATCTGCGTGCTGCGTTTAACAGAATCTTCAGATGCTATTTTTTTCTACGGATCACTATACTCTCTCACTCTCTCTCTCTCTTTTATTTGAAAAAAAAGTAGAAAAAAGATACTGTTGCACATATTATATAAATAGTAAATACACGCGCATATATTGCATATAAAATGCAATATAGATTTTTTTTTTGTTTGGTTATTTATTGAAAATATCTTTAGTTTTCTCGGTGTTGATAATGATGATAATGATGATGATATTGGATATTTTGGATATGATATTATAACATGCAATGTACATACACACACACACAAACATTTGAACAACAGACAGCAGCAACCACCATTGACGAAACAAAAAAAAAATTCAGTTCAAAATGATGTTAGTCAGTATTATTTGGTTTTTTTTTTGGATATCATGAATAGAGAATTTATATATTTTTTTTTACTATAGTGATATATTGTGTGTATGTATGTATGTATTGAGCTCAATCAATGTAGAATCAATGAAAATGAATGCAATGAATACGATTGAATGCCAATAGTCAGAACATCACTTTGTGTATCAGACAAAATAAATATTATCCATTATTATTTTCATTTTTATAGCCGCTACAAGTAGTATGTGAGATAATATTAAACTATACAATATATTTTTATAACATATTTTAATCATCATATATCCCTATCCTTATTTGATCAGTTAGGATTCAATACAACATATTACACACATCCATTCATTCATTCATTCATCCATATACTTCCTTTTATATACATTGAACAACAACCACCATAAAGCTTTTTTTTGGTTTTGGTTTTTTTGGTTACACAGGCGCAATATATTATTACATTACAGATAAATATTTTAAGTTAATGAATTTGATGGGCACATGTTACGCGCGCGCGTCTTTGTATGTATGTATTGGATTGTGTCCATCCATCTTTTTATGTGTGTGTGTATAATATGTTGGTGTTTGATTGATCCAAATATTGGAACAATTTTTTTTTTTGGTTTGGTTTTGTTTTGTTTGTTTTTTTGTCTTTTTTAGCTTTGTCTTGAAATGGGTGAAAAATGATGTTTTTGGGTACCTATTTTGTAGATTTAAAGGTAACTGATTTTTTTTGTTTTGTAGAATTTTTCCGGTTCATAATGTTTTAAAGAGCAAATGAAAAAAAAAGATTAGAATGATTGATATGATACAGAGAAATTTTCCAAGGAATTTTCTTTTTTTTTGTTTAATTTCCGAAAAATATATCGAATTTTTTTTCTATATTTCTTCTTGTTCAATGAAAAAAACAAGAATTTTTGTTTTGTAGAAAATCAATTCAATTCGAATATCATTTCAATGGTTTCATTGGATTTCAATGAATGTTTTTGTTTTTGTTTTCAATTAAAATGAAACAAAAACAAAACAAAAAACAAAACAAAACGGATTTTCGAAAAGAATTTTCAATTTTTTTTTCAGTCTAAAAAATTCTTTTGGAAAAAAAATATGCTGGCTATATGATGAATATTTGATTCTCATTCCCAATTTTGTTTTTTGTTTTTTGTTGTTGTTGTTAACATCGAAAATCAAGGAAAAAAAATTTTTGTTGTTTAAAAAAAATCATACCATCATTGACATTGTCGTAATTAATAATTATCATCATCATCATAATCATAATCATCGACAGAACTAGACTATGCCAGCATTTTTTCTTTTTTGTTTGTTGCACTATTGATGATGATAATGATAATAAACAGTAAATGATAATCAGTATATTTTTTTCTGGTTCGATAATATCGATGACAATAAATAAAATGATGATATTTTTGTAAAACCAAAAAAAAGAATGGCAGCCATCAATTTGTTATTGTCATTTTTTCATTCATTTTGATTTTCAAAATTTTTACACAATTGAAAAATTACTGGTTAAATGACTTTTCCGTAATTCAGTTCAAAATATTAATGTTTGGTTGTTGTTGTTGGTGTTGAAAAAAAAGGATTAATTTCGATCACTGTTGATCAATAATGATGATAATGATGATGATGATCATATTTGAAGGAAAAAAAATAACATTGTCAGCATTATTTTATTTCTGTTGCTTTCTCTCTCTCACTCTCAATATATATCAATCTCTTCCGATAAAAATAGAATCAATCAATCAACGGAATCCAAATTCAAAAATTGATAACCGAAAAAAAATCAATGTATTTTTTTTATGATGATCAAATCAATTAAATTTTTTTTTTGTCAATCGATCAATCGATTGATTGATTGATAAATTGATTGGTGACAATCATTATCATCATCTATCCAGTGTTATCCAGAAATTGAAAACCAAAGAAAAAAAAAACACAAAGTTTTAATTTTGGAAATTACACGGGAAAAATAACGATACAAAGAAAATAATAATGATTTGTAAAAATTCAAAATTTATCGTTACAATTTCAAATTTGTTTTTTTTAATATCCAATCCATTTATATTGGACATATACAAATATACATACAGCATAGACAAAGGGGAAATACTTAAATATCATTCAATCAATCAGGATATTAATATATGATATCCATTCAAAACAACAACAAAAAATTAAGGTGACATACTTGATAATAAATTATTGTTGTTGTTGTCTTGTTTTCTTTTTCCTTAAAACCAAAAAGTAATATCTAAAAAAAACAACAAGTTTTAAATGGAAAAGATAATCATCATCATCATCAATTACTAAAGACGACAATCATCATCTTGACATTTTTTTCTTTTTTTTTTTGATAATCATCTTTAATCATCATACAATCCACTTGTTGTGTGTGGTTGTTTATTGAACATTTTATTTCTCTATGTATATCCTCTTATTTTTTTTTAATCAAAAATCCGTAACAACAAAAAATTACCTGTAATTTTGTTGTTGTTGTTGTTGTTGCTCTAACAATTAATATTATTATCATTTAGCTTTAATGACAACAACAACAACAGCAACTGCAACAACAAATGTGAAAATGACAAAATATATCATGATATGAGAATGTGGATCAAACAAAAAAAAACAAATTTCTTTATTTATTTTCCATTATAAATTTATTTCCATCCTTTTTTTCCCTTAAATTAAAATGATTTTAATTTATAGATATTTTGTTTGTTTTGTCTGTTTGTTGTTTATCATCATCCAAAAAAAAAAATCAATGATTTTCATTTG